TAGAAAATAAAAAAATTACGAAAATAAAAAAAAAAATTTGATCGATTTTACCTCTCTTGGTATTCGAACTCACGTAAAGGGTTTATAATTGCACATTTACATAGCAATTGCGTCTGTGTGAGTGTATGTATGCCTATGCGCATCTATTCGTGTCTGTGTAAGCATTTTCGCAGTCAACTAAACAGCAACATCAACAACAGCGGCGGGCAGCGCTTGAGCAGCGCTGCAGCAGCAAATATATTTATGGCTATACTTCTCGTTAAATCGGTCTGTCATAGTGAAACTTGGAATACGGATACATAATAACCAACTGGGGGTATTTTAGTTCGAAATAACAAGAATTACGGGAGTTACGATTTGCGGGGTAGAGGGGGGAGGGAGGGAAATTCCAAAATATACATTTTCTACGTATTCACATAAAGCTTCTTGGACTAAAATTTGGTGTTCCTAGGTCTTATAGTCTCCGAGATATAGGCGATAATACGAATGGAAAATCGGGAAAACCCCCATAGGGGGAAGTGGGGGGAAAATCAAAAAAATAAAACAAACTCGTATAGAATACACACATAAGGCATCTTTGTGCAAAGTTTGGTGTCTCTATCTCTTATACTATAGTCTCTGAGATCCAGACGGACAGACAGACAGGGCTAGATCGACTCGTCTCGTCATGCTGATCAAGAATATATATACTTTGTGGGGTCTGCCACGCCTCCTTCTGCCTGTTACATTTTTCAGCTCCCTAATATACTTCTGTACATTTCATGTAGAGAGTATAAATAGGCTTAACGGTAAATGACTCTTAGATTTGTTCAGAATACATTTGTAGCGTTAGCTAATGTTAAAACGGTAATTCGCTGTAAATATGCCATCAGCTGATATGCTAGAGATGGTCATGTATCGGATGCTCTATGTGTTAGAGCATCAAAACTATCGATAGTTGAATCCGTCGATACAATCAATAAATCCATCGAAGTTTGAATGCAATTAACAGAAAATTTAAATAATAACATCTTTTAATTTATGGAGATCAATTAGAACAAGTCATACACAAACATACATATGTACATATGTACATCTGCCCGCAACGCGAAGCAGAATATGCGTAGATCCGCTTTCGGTTTCTGCTTTACTATCGCCTACGCAGTCGTTTCCTAGCTACGGTAACTGTAAACTTTTGACATTTTGCCTTTGAAATTAACAGGCGTAAATGATCAAAACGAAAGATGAAGCGCGAGCCAATGACTTGCAGTTGTTGTTGTTTTTAGTTTTAAAAATTTGATTTAAAACCATAGAACATTATATATTACAATCAAACAACAGTGCTCGATTGTCCAATGTATACATACATACATACGAATGTACATACATGCTATATACTATGTACTTTTTACTTTTTCAACCGTACGTAGAGAACCGCACACATAGACACGAACTGTTGCTTGTTCTGTGTGTCAGTATACGATGTCCCCAACTATTTGATATTTTCGTTCTGTGTAATTTGTTGTTGCTGTATAAAGTTACTAAAACCCCAATGCCAAATGTACTAAACAAAGAAAAAATTACTTTTAAAAATGTTAAATAATTTTTAATTAATTAACATTTCTTGCTCTGTTAGTGCACGACGAATGAACATACATACTGTAACGACGCACAGCTGCCAGCAACGCAACGCGTCGTCACGATGCCGATGAGTGGTTTTAAGTAGGTGTAAGTAGTTGTAAGTTGAAGAGAGTTTTGGAGTTAGTTCTGTTGGGGAGGCAAACGAACGCGCATTGAAGCGCACCCTCCTATTTTGAGATTTTTGAAATAAAAGATAAATCATCATATTTGAGTTGTAACTGCGGGCTCGCTTTATTTCTGGGAGACCAAACCAAGAATTTTGCAGCGACTCTGGCCGACGAGTATACCCGGGCCAGAGCAACGTTACAATACATTCATAGATGTGTACATGTGTATGTGTGTACATTCACACATTAGTGTGTCACATTTTGCTTTGGCTATTTCAATCATTTGCACGCAACTACACGAAAAAACAAGTAAAAAAGCTAAAGTCGGGTGTCCCGACTTTGAAATACTCTGTACATATGTTTACAATAATTATAGAAAATAAAAAAATTACGAAAATAAAAAAAAATTCAATGATCGATTTTACCTCTCTCGGTATTCGAACTCACGTAAAGGGTGTATAATTGCACATTTACATAGCAATTGCGTCTGTGTGAGTGTATGTATGCCTATGCGCATCAATTCGTGTCTGTGTAAGCATTTTCGCAGTCAACCAAACAGCAACATCAACAACAGCCGCGGGCAGCGCTTGAGCAGCGCTGCAGCAGCAAATATATTTATGGCTATAACTTCTTGGTAAATCGGTCTATCATAGTGAAACTTGGCATACGGACACATAATTACTAACTGGGGGTATTTGCAAAATTTTAGTTCGAAATTCCAAGAATTACGGGAGTTAGAGAAAATCGCATTTGCGGTGGAGAGGGGGGAGGGAGGGGAATTCCAAAATATACATTTTCTGCGTATTCACACAAGGCATCTTGGACTAAAATTTTGTGTTCCTAGGTCTTATAGTCTCCGAGATATAGGCGATTATACGAATGGAAAATCGGGAAAACCCCCATAGGGGGGAAGTGGGGGGGAAAATCAAAAAAATAATACAAACTCGTATAGAATACACACATAAGGCATCTTTGTGGAAAATTTGGTGTCTCTATCTCTTATAGTCTCTGAGATCCAGGTGTTCATACGGACGGACAGACGGACAGACAGACAGACAGGGCTAGATCGACTCGTCTTGTCACGCTGATCAATAATATATATACTTTGTGGGGTCTGCCACGCCTCCTTCTGCCTGTTAGATTTTTCAGCTCCCGCAAACCTAATATACTCTTGTACATTTCATGTACAGAGTATAAAAATTTGTAACACAAACTTTTCATTTGAAAAGGTGAATAAATATTAAAAACTCCAATAATTCAAGCTCCAACACACATTTCAAAAAACCGAGTATGCATTTTTTTGCATTCTTTTATAGATTATAAAAATCAAATTTAAAGTTGATTGATGGAAAACTGAAGATTTTTCAAACAAACTTTGTAGCTCGTTTTCCTCCATTTGGAGCTCGAATTTTCCAAAATCCCTTCTTAGTGCGCACTTAAACTATGATAGGATGCTTGACCCCTAATTTCAGTTTCATAGCTTTTACCGTTTGGGCTGTTGACGCGGTTTTCTTTTGTGCCCCAACATTTTTTTTACAGGAAAACTCCCATATTCCAGGCCCCAAGAAAAATGTATGCAATTTTTCTTGAAATTTTTCTGAGAGTATACAAACTAAGTTAGAAGATAATCAGATGTAAATTGTAGATTTTTCATACAAACTTTTGAGCTCGAATTTTCCAAAATCCTTTCTTATCGCCAGCCTACACTATGAAAGGATACTTGAGTCCAAATTTCAGCTTCCTAGCTTTTACCGTCTGGGCTGTGCGTTGATAACCATTCAGTCAGTCAGGCCAATCTGCATTATATATATAGATGATTTTGCGTATTACTATATGTATCGATGTGTTTTGTAAAATATACATATTTTTCAATTTTTAATGTATTATTGTATTATTATTTAATTGAGTCTACTACTTTCCAATGAAAAATTTTATTTTTTAGTATAAATTTGAATTATTTAGGTACTTAATAAATAGATGATGTTGTCTTTAGTGGGGTTGGTTAGAAATATTTGGTGAGGGAAATATTTATGTCTTATTGTTTTCAATTTAGGGCATTGGGATATTACGTATGAGATAGTGATTGGGGTGTCTCGGTTGCAGAAGCTGCAAATTCGAGTCGGTGTTTTTATACTCTGTACATGAAATGTACAAGAGTACTATATATTAGGTTTGCGGGAGCTGAAAATGTAACAGGCAGAAGGAGGCGTGGCAGACCCACAAAGTATATATATTCTTGATCAGCATGACGAGACGAGTCGATCTAGTCCTGTCTGTCTGTCCGTCTGTCCGTATGAGCACCTGGATCTCAGAGACTATAAGAGCTAGAGACACCAAATTTTGCACAAAGATGCGTTATGTATGTACGCTGTGGAAGTTTTCCCGATTTTCCAGTCGTATAATCGCCTATATCACGGAGACTATGGGACCTAGGGACACCAAATTTTAGTCCAAGATGTCTTGCGTGAGTACGCAGAAAATGTGTATTTTGAAATACACCCTTTACGTGAATTCGAATACCAAGAGAGGAAAATCGATCACAATTTTTTTTTTAATTCTCTTAATTTTTATAGCCTGTACCCAAAGGGTGAAAGGCTATACTAGTTGTCTGCGAATGTATGTAACACACAGATAAGGCGTGGCAGACCCCACAAAGTATATATATTCTTGTTCAGGGTGGCAAGCCGAGTCGATATAGCCATGTCCGTCCGTCTGTATGAGCGCAAGGATCTCAGAAGGTACAAGAGCTAGAATAACCAAACTCGGTATCCAGCTTCCCATAAGCCCTAGACAGGTCAAGTTTATTATTCTGATACACCCCCCCCCCCACTCCCACGCAATTCGTGTTTTTTCCATAACTCCCGTAGTTCTTGGAATTTCGAACTAAAATTAGTGATCCCGTTAGTGATTATATGTCTGCATGCCAAGTTTCATCATGATAGGTCAATTCTGAAGAAAGTTATAGCCATAAATAACCTGTCGCTGTCCATGCTCTACTTGTAGCGTTGCCGGCGGCGCTGCCCGCAGCTGTTGTTGTTGTTGCTGCTTGGGTTCAACTTTGTGATGCATACATACACGCAGAGACATGATTCTGATGTAAATGTATGCTGTTGAAACTGTACATGAACATGTCTTTAATTTAATTAAATAATTTCATTAATATACTTTTTTTTATATATTAATAATTTTTTTTTGATGTAATTTGTTAATCAGCCGTTGTTTTTAAAAATAAGTGTTTCTTTACTAATATACTAATAAATTTTTATTTTTCAGAATCTTAACAGTTTTTTAGTTCCCAAAGGAAGTGAGCGACAATAATAGATTATAGGAAACTGAATAGTATATTTTCCACACATATACACATTTAAAATTCAACTGGACATTTGTGCGGTCGGCCATCATTGGAACAGTCATATATATTTAAAGTACAGGAAAATTAATCGAGTTATAACTAAAATAATGTTCAGTGCATAAATTTAACAATGTTCTTCAAATTATCACTAGGTAACATAAAGTCCATCGAAAATGCAAACAAATATCACAAGAAAACTAACTTTGTACTGTGGAAATTCTATATATTTGCACTTGTTTAAATATAAATACAAATTAACATTCATGGATAAGTAAATAGAAACAAAATATTTTTGTAACGTAACGTGGTTAAATCAAAATTTTCAAATTTTTCAACAATACAATTTTAATACCAAACAAAAGTGGCGAATAATGAACAACGTATTTATTAATGAACGAATTGTGTAGTTTTTTTTTAATTTTTTATACTATTTGCCAAATTGTAATTTTTATTCGTTTTGTTGACTAATTTATATGATTATTACAATCAAATAAATAAATGAAACTAAGTATGACAGAGAGTCAGAGATTGAATTTTTTCAATTATGAATTAAGTTGCACATAAATAATTAAACTATCTTAATGTAAAATACATAAATAATTACGGGTTGGGAAATATAAGTTTGCTATGTTTTAAAATGTAATCATTATAACAAATTAATTTTTTATCTACTACTACTACTTAATATAACCAAAAAAAACCGGTTTGTATTGAATAAATTTACAAAACAAAAACCAATATTGGATTTATTTACCATTGATTGAGCAAAAATTAGAAGAGGTGTTAAATATATAAAAGTACAATAATAATGTATGTACAATTCATACACAATGCAGGAGTTCCATACACATGGAGACATTCCACAAATATTAATTATTATATATCAGTCTACATATATACATATAAAGACAAATATACCAGAAAATCAGAAATACTCATAAATGAAATACAGGACAATAAAAATATGGACTCTTAAAAATCCTTTGTATTCGAAATTGTTGAATTGGAATTGCACTTACATACATTAATAAACATTGAATTTTACATAAATAAATTATTATGTTCACTGTTATTTCTGCTTTTAATCGCAAAATTGGGTAAGTAAATTCCAGCTTTTGTCAGCCAAACCAAAAATCGCTTTACTTATAAAAACAAGAAAGGAATGCTAAAGTCGAGCAGGTTCAACTCTTAAATACCCTGTACCACCCCACAACAAAGTAATTAAATTAATTAATTAATATAATTTAATTAATTAATTAAATTAATTTAATTAATTAACTAAATTAAATATAAAATATTCCATACACACATTTACATCAGAATCGTGTCTACGCGTGTTTGTGTACTTGTACATATGTATGTATGTGTGCATTGGGCCAGGTTTTATGACTATAACTAATTCTTTCCGATCATTCTATCATAATGAAACTTGGTATACGGATATATATTCAATAACCTAATGTGACTACCAAATTTTAGCTTAAAATTCTAAGAATTACGGGAGTTTTAGAAAATCGTTAATAGGGGGGGAGTGGGGGGTGCATCAGAAAAAATGAACAAACTCGTCCTTTCTCGGTCTCAGGAAAATCTATATACCAAGTTTGGTTATTCTACCTTTTATACTTTCGGAGAATGTGAATTTAACAATATCTACATAGGTTAGGTTAAATTTACCCAATTAGTAGGACCACAGAGACTTCAGTGGCCCTGGGCGATGCCGGATAGTTGGATATCAGTAGGGGTTTCGTTTAAAATTCCATTAGCAGCTTGCTTTGTTTTTCAAACGCCAGCAGTGCTTTTGGGGATCATTTTGCTGATTCCTTCAACGAAGTTAGAGTGTATGCGTTTAGGTGTTTGGCTCTGTGAGTGTTTAGTGGCATACAAGATGCTCAAGATGTTTCTATCGCTTCGGGCCTTTGAATTTCCTCCATCCGTCCTCAGCTGTTATTCCCATTTTCTTGGCGTGGGCAGCTACTAGACAGTGACCGGTCGGTAGGCGGACGATGAGCCTGCACTCCTTTCTCTGCAGTTGCAGGAGGAATTGGGTAAGTTTTTTATCTCTACCCTTCTACATTTTACGCGTTGTTCTGCAGTTGTCAGTTTTGTTCCTCTGCATTATGGTGCCACAGCGGCATAAAATCGAAAAATGTATGAAAATATTTTTGGAATATAAGTAAAATTTCGATAAATAGACACCCCAATTAGAATAAAACGGTTTTTTGAGCTTTGTTTCAACCCTGTTGATTTGGCATGCTTATTATCTCAGCTGATTGGTGACAGTCCTGATATTTGCAATTCGGAGGAAATTTTTTGCTAACTTTCGCTTATGATAAAAATGGTTTTATTTGAGTGAATATTAAACAAGAAAAGAATGCTAAAGTCGAGCAAGCTCAACTCTTAAATATCCTGTACCTCCCACAAAAAAGGAAAAAATGAAAAAAAAATGTTTTTAAATAAATAAAAAAAAGTATATTAATTAAATTATTTAATTAAATTAAAGACATGTTCATATACAGTTTCAACAGCATACATTTACATCAGAATCGTGTCTCTGCGTGTTTATATGCGAGTATGTATGTAGCACAAAGTTGAACCCAAGCAGCAGCAATAACAACAGCTGCGGGCAGCGCTGCCGGCAGCGGTACAAGCAGAGCATGGGCAGCGATTTTATTTATGGCTATAACTTTCATCAGAATTAACCTATCATGATGAAACTTGGCATGCAGATACATAATCACTAACGGCAAGTAGCTACCTAATTTTCGAAATTCCAAGAATTACGGGAGTTATGGGGAAAAACACGAATTGCGGAGGAGTGGGGAGGTGTATCAGAATAAAAAAAAATAAACTTGACCTGCCTAGGGCTTATGGGAATCTGGATACCGAGTTTGGTTATACTAGCTCTTGTACCTTCAGAGATCCTTGCGCTCATACAGACGGACGGACAGACGGACGGACGGACATGGCTATATCGACTCGGCTTGTCACCTTGATTAAGAATATATATATTTTGTAGGGTCTGCCACGCCTCCTTCTGTGTGTTACATACATTCGCAGACAACTAGTATAGCCTTTCACCCTTTGGGTACAGGCTATAAATATAAGTATGGAAAATAAAGATCAAGGTATGTAGAATTAATTGCAAGCCATATTTAGTGTTTTGTATGTGTCTTTTAGCAGGATTGAATAACAAAAGTAATTGTGTTTCGGTGGAGTATTACTTTTGCAGCCCACAACGGTGCAAGCTTAACAAGTACACTTATACATAATTAATAAGTCTCCTTTGCCCCGTTTTCGAAAAATCGCTTTTATTGCAGCAAGCATGCAAGCATGTTTGGGCACGTAGAAATTGTTGAAACTTAAGAGCACTGTAAATTTTATAAACAAAACGAAATAAATGCAGCTATCAATTTACATTAAATATTTTGCATACAAATGGAACTGCGGAAAAGTAGACAAAAATAGTTGGCTGTTGCGATTGGTTAAAAAAATAAAAACGTCCGCTGTGTTCGGTGGTCACAAGAGAAGAGGCTCATGTTTATTTTCGGCAACATAAAAGCGCGATTGCTTAGGTTAACAGCTGGATTAATACCGTTTTACATTAAACCGCTCATTTGTACAGTGGCGAAAGCTACGACAACATTGACTTCAATTACTTAAGCTTAAATTAACAATTAATTTTACATCTATTTACTTAAATAACTAACAACTCAATTTAAACAATTCATATATGACAACTTAAATATAAAAAATACAAAATATAATAATATAAACCAACATGCCGGCCACGTTGAAGGGCCATGCATTGGACCTTCAAAATATAGGAAGCATGGCTAGCTTGTGGATGGGCCGTTTAAGTTCGCCCATGGCCGTTTTTACGGTTGCTACCCGCACTTGGCCGTCTGCTCCTTTTGTAGCGCTGGTTATCCGTCCTACGATCCAACGCTGCGGTGGTGTGTTGCCCTCGTGGACGATTACCAGGGCGCCGACGTCTACGTTGGGTTGCGGACTCTGCCACTTGGTGCGAAGCTGAAGGCTGTGTACGTAGTCCTTGGACCACGCTTGCCAAAACCGCTGTCTGAACAGTGATAGCAGCTGCCACCTGCGCGTATACGTTAGCGGTCTGTCTGGCTTGTCCGGCTCGGATCCTTGCGGCAGCGAACAAAGCGGCTGACCGATTAGCAGATGACCCGGCGTAAGGGCGTCGCCGTCGTTGGGATCTGCGCTTAAGGGAGTCAGCGGTCGCGAGTTCAAGATTGCCTCTACGTCCGCCAAGTGACCTCTGACCTCGCTCTCCAAAGTATGTGCAAGACAAATGAACGATATATCACGATAACCGATTTCGATGATCCTTTTTTAATTGGAAAGGATGTACTTTAAGGGTACTTTGATGAGAGTTTGGTTAGGTTCTGCAAACGAGGACGTTCTCAATTCGACTGTATTGTTCATTGTTACCTCAGAACTTTCGACTGTGTAAACCGATTTTGATGATTCCTTTTTTATTTGAAAGCTGATGATTCCCATGTGGTCCCATTTCAATTTGGTCCAATTCTGACAATGGCATCCAAGAGAAATCCATATAATTCTTAAAACATACAAAATGTTCATGGGTTTTAGATAAATTTAAATGAGATATTATGTGAAATAGAATTTCAATTTCAGTATAATGCCGTCGAAAAAATCTAACCGTAACAATGCGTGTAGCAAAAATACACGACCCCGGCGTTCTAAAAGCTCAAAAGTCAGAAGAACTAACTGCAACAAGAGCCGTAACTCAACAAATCAAAACAGTAGATATTCGCAGACGACAGAAAGACAGAGTGATGAACGTTTTCGACAAAATATATTGAGAACAAGAGTGCTCGATTCAATCTTTGTATATCCACGACGAATTCTTTAGAACATGAAAAGTTCGCAAGACTCCTCTGTTGAAAGAGGAGTTTCTCCATGACTTCTTTTGCTTCATTTAAACGGCGTTGTCTCATATGAGAAACACGTTTATTAGGTCGACCCATATTCATACACATTAGTTAGTGTACTTCACATTCACTAAAAATCCAAAAATAAACAACA